CAAAAAGACGGACAGGATGTGGTAAGTGCAGTGTGAGACATCAAACAAATGCCGCCTTTTTGTCTGGAGCCTCAATTCTGCAACTGAAGAGACATATTCTAAACATACGCACAACGTAATTAGAAGTTCAGACTTTTTTAATACAACTTAAGAAGTTCAACTTTTTAGTTGCCAGATCAAGGGACACAAGGATATATCAACAAAATTGAGTTATGAAGTCATGCTAAGATCTAAAACTTAAATCAAGATAAAAATATCTTGAACATAAAAACAGAAAAATAAATTTCAAGGATATGCGTGAAGAAGTTGAATGAGGAAGCCAAATAACTAAGTTTTCGGGGTGGAAAAAGGATAGGACGCATGCAGAAAAGATTCGCAAAGGGTCTTTTCCCACTGAATTCGGCACTTTTCGTCTAAAAAGGTAAAAGTTAGCGACATCAAAACAAGGCAAATAATTAACGAAGCAGACAAATTGTTTTGCCAAAGAAAATGAGAAGGAAAGAGGTTTCAATTAGCAGCTGTTTGAATTCTGAGAGGCGGAAATTGCCACACTAAACTTCTTTGCAGACGAATGGAAGAAATTTTAAATAAGTGAATTTTTCTCTCAGTTTGTATACTAGAAAGGAAACAAAACGCGTAATAATAGAAGCTATTAGACTAACTGAATGTCGACAGAGAAAGGAGAACGAATAAAGCGTACGGTTTTCCTACCACCTGCTGTAATAAACAATCAACGCCTAGCAAATACAAAGCAAGCGCACTGCATAAGAAGGCGACAGAAGTAATATGTATTGGCTGACGGTAGAGAGAGTGTAAAAAGCGTCTACTCCTGAAAATGATGGATTGCGTTTTACAAAGTTTATCAAAATGTGCGTTGAAAAGGAAAGAAAATCCAAATTCGTACCTTGTCAATGCACATTTTGATAAACTTTGCAAAAGTCATCTTCCTGAAAAATACACTCTAAATAACCCTGAATGACCGACTCAAATAACAACCTTAGCTTATAACCAGATGGTGACTAAGACAATAATTATTTCTTGGGTACGTTATTTATAGCAAACCTTTCTGAGGTCCATCAAATAGGCTCCTTGTGCGCATGTACACACTAGTTTATCTAGATGCTCTATTTTGCATTCGCACACGCGCATTGCACTGAAACCAGAGACTAGTTAAGGGATTATTTGTAGTCTAACCTGAAAACGAAAGAAACATGGCAAAAACCCCTATTTTCCCGACATGTTGAATAACATACTGCAACTTCTTTAACACCAGCATGTATAAAACAGAAATTTTATACTTCTTCACGTGTGAAAGGATGAATATATGAATTTCGTAAATTTGAACCGCGGAATAAAGAAATAAATGCAAAGAAGATCATAGAGGTTTATGCCACTTATGCAGCTGCGAAAAGAATCGTTGCATTTCTTTCTTCACTTGTGTTGGCGCATTCTGCTTATAACACGTATGCATATCTTATGACAGTAATCAAGAGTAAAAGCTTTGATATCTTTTGTAATGGCACTATAGGGAGAATTCCTCAAAAAAAGTAAAAACTTTTTCTCTTTGAGTCATTTTCTCATGACAGGTCACTGGCCTGAGAAAAAAGCCGATATTTTGCAACCCTACCACTGGTTTCCCTTTGAAATTGACGCCCGAGTAACGAGCGCTGAAATTCTATACTGATGACGTGTCACTATCCAGATCTGGGTAGTGACACGTCATCAGTATGGAATTTTTGCGCTCGCTCCTCATTTATATAGCATTAAATTCAAATGATAAACTCAATATCTATCTATCTATCTATCTATCTATCTATCTATCTATCTATCTATCTATCTATCTATCTATCTATCTATCTATCTATCTATCTATCTATCTAGAAAAGAAGCAATAAAATCAATGGTTGCACTCTTAGGCTCCAATAAGCTTGATTTATTCGGGGGTACTAAATTGACTGTGACATCGTGGATAAAAAGAGCAGTTGATTTGAAATAGACCATGTTTAGAGACAGGATAACAGTGGGAAAAAATAAGACATTCATGATCTGCATAATGGGAAACCTATATCAAACGAAGGCACGCTTTTGCAACAGATATTTGGTAAATGTGAGTCAAGCCACTTGGCTCCAGGAAACTACAACATATAACAAATGCGAAGGAAAGGAGAACTATACAATAAATGGTCTGATTCATGGGCACAAATGTCTGTTTTACACTTATGCCAACTGTTTTGCCTCTTCTTCTTCTTCTTCTTCTTCTTCTTATTATTATTATTATTCTGATTATTATTATTATTATTTTATTAATAAAATTAATGTGGCTTCTACGTACTGTTATTGTCATTGGGTAAGTACTTCATATATAATTATTATAGTGTACCGAGATTACCAGCCGCTGTTCAGGAAATGAGCCCGCGCTCCGGCCTCCGCCGACCGAGAGAGCGGCGGAAATCGAGCCTACTGTTGTCACTGAATAAGTACCCCCAGGCATTCACCATAGTTTTTACGTTCCAGAGAAATGAAATTGTTAGTATAGTGGTCAAAGGGTTTTAGATTTACTTGGTAGTTGAGCAGTAATTCGACACAACTCCGATTCAGCACCTCCTCAAGCTGGCCTGAATTTAATGACTGTTCCGAACATCCCATCTTCTATGAAACCTTCCTGAATAACTCAGCAACGTTTTACAAATATTTTGCTCTTTTCCAAATCCGATGTCTAGTAAGTTTTGTTTGGAACATTTTGCACTTTTTCGTACCAAAGCATTGGTTTTGGCGGCTTGTAAATTAAACAGTACTTTTTAGGACGACTTTAGTCATGCAGAAAGCCGAGGAAACATAGATCAAAAGTCCAAAGGCGGAAGTTAAGTTTATCTTAGGAAAAAACTAAATTAAGATCCAAAAACAACTCAAGCAATGAATCAAATATTCAAATAAAACTGAAAGAATTTTTTCTTTAAAGCTATTTTATTGTTTTTGGTGATTTTTTTAATATAGAGGTGAAATTTAATATCTCACAAAAGAGCAACGAAGGCAAAAATAAGGCTTTTGAATTTGGATTAAAAAGAAACTCAACTCTTTGGATTGTATGAGACGTGACTGATTCTACAATGAGATAACACTTGAGGAAACGAATCAAATGAACTACACAATCGATAATTTTTCAATCAACAAGGGAACAGATTCGGCAACAACCGAAACAATTGGGAAAGCTCAGTCGCTCATCAGGTGTAAAGATGACGGCAGATTTTTCAATTTCTGAAGTCAAAGTTGAGCAAAAACAAAGTGAATCAACTGAGATTTGAATGTAAAGCAAGCGTCGTCTCTTTCAAGCATTCGGGACTTTGAATGAAAAGTTTCAGAGACACATTCACGTATATGAACGATGATGTGCAAATCATATTTTTCTGTTGATCCATTGGTGTCCGTATTTCTGTTTATAGTGGTATTTTGTTTGAAAATCTGAGGCCATCACATGTAACATTGATTTAAAACATTTTACATGCATTTGAAAACAAGCCCCTGACGATACTTTCGTTTTAAAGCTCGAGGGTTTAGCCTGAATTTCTGTCCTCTCACATCGTCTAAAGATAAAAGAAGCATTGTGTCAACTAACAATGAGAAAAGAAATTTTGAAAAATTCAATTTCCGGCAACTAGCCTGGAAAAAAAGCATTTGCAAAGACGGCTCGGAAGCGAATGTGTGAAGAATCTAAAAAAATCTCGTTTGTAAGTTGACAAATCGACAGCTGTCGAAAAGCATATTCATAATTTATACCGCTAAATTAAAACAAGACAAGAGAGAGATGAATTAAAACTAACACAAGCTAGCGTCAAACTTGTCTTTTATTCTCATGTCGACAAAGTGCGCGCACAGATTTAAGGACGAACAAAGTTACTGCTGCGAGCAGCGGTCGCTTAAGTGGGGAAGGAGAAAAACTCTCGCAAACATTTTGTTCAAAGTAATTCGATTATACCAAACCAAGCCCTTATCTCGAAAGAAAGCATAAATATTGCAAAACTTCGAGAGACGCTCCACTCAGTTTAACAAGGGGAAAATATGTAACACGACAAAGCGACGTATATTTTTTGGACGTTACAAATATTCTTTGATTTAGGCATTTTAGTCGACACAGCGCCTTAATAAGTACTATTACAACTTTGTGTGTTTGGAAAACTCGAAGCCTGTGAGGAGTCTGGTGGTATCACCTGTCCATTGAGGCCTAATGAGAGCGAATAAAAAGCGAACGACTTGTTGATGTTTTCTTATGAGCTGGTACAAGTACCACTCGCGTACCCTACTTAAGCTTTAACTGACGAAACTTGTTGGTATTTTCCCCATGCACTGTTATTTTTTGCGAGGGCTAAATACGCGGAGAAAAAAGGAACTGAATCAAAAGAGATCCGAGAAAAACGAATTTTAAAGCAATGAGAGATGAAACGACACGAAGACAGCGTTTTAAGGAATGTGTGCGCAAATTTTCGGGCGCACTCATAGATTCGAAACATCACTTGGTAAATCATATCTTATATAAATAAAGCTTCTGTTTGTGTTGTGGGTGTTCAATACTAAACTGATCTTCGTTAGTGATTGTTTTAAAACCACCTCTGCCATTCGAACGAAAGAGATTGAAATCTCTGACACGGGCTTGACAGGATAATATGCAATAATTTGCCGCTACAAAACGGGAAATAACGTGAACCAAATTATGGTTGAAATTCCGCCCACCCCTAGAACTGTGCGGGAGTCTTTCAAGGGGACTGTCCGAGCCAACAGCATTCTTAATGAATACAACAGATTATCCCTTAAAAGTCTCGTTTAACTGGTCTTTAAAGCAAAACAAATTAAAGTCTTTTTACGCCGCTGTTGCTGAAAAAGCGAGTTTTTGTCCAAGTCTTCCAGGGTATAACAGGTGAAACGAGGAAAATCACACCGAAGCGTAGTTTCTCATTCCGCATTCACACCCAACGAAGTACCAGTCATTGTCACGTGACCCACCAGTGCCGGCCTCTTTTGATAGGCCACTTGATTATAGACTCGGTTTCTAATTAGCATACGGTGTCAAGGCAAGAGAAGGAAGCCCAAAATCTGAATGATTGAATCGCTTCTAGGCGGTTAAATTTATGGCTGGAAACAAACTTTCGCGTGCACGAGCGCGCCACGCAAGCCGGCTGTAGCGTGAGATTTTCGCCTGAATGAGGCTAGAAAATAACTTGAAGCAGGAGAAATGGCGGACACTCGAAGACCTTCCTCGGTTCCCTCAGAGGACTTTTATAAAACGCGTATGGCCAACTCGAATAATTCGCGCAAGTCTTCTGTACAAGCTGGAAGAGGAACACCACAACTTCTATGTTCCGATCGCTCACTCTTCATCTTTTCAAAGGAAAATATCATTCGAAGAGTATGCAAGAAAATCGTCGAATCTAAAGTATCCTTTGAGCCGTTACGGGCACATCAGTAGAAAATGTTTTTTTAGCCTTGGCGTTGTCGGAGTTTGTTGTCGTCTATGGCAAAGTGGAACGTGCGTGATAAATTCTTTGTCAGTGTTGAGTGTTTTGAAACCTGAGGGGAATTTTTCTGTCCTCTATTTAGTGAGTCTTCGACGCTATTGTGGGAGAATTTTTTTAATATAATTTTATTTTTTTGACTTATCTGTGAATTTATGTATGTTCGTATGATATATTCCTTAACTGAAGACAAGCCTTTTGAATATTTTATTCTATTGACTATCTTTGTCAATTGCATCTTACTGGCCGCTAATACTCCTTTGCCTGAAAACGACAAGTCAGACCTAAACATTAAACTAGTAAGTAACAATTTTTCTAGTTTTATCCTTCCTTAACAAAACAGCGAACGACAACGCACTGCAGTGAGCGAAACTGTCACGACTAGGCCGCTACAAGGACAGAAATAACTTACGCTTGCTGCTATTTATCCTATCTTTCAGGAAAGCGCCGAAGTATATTTATTAGCGATATTCTGCCTAGAAGCTCTTTTAAAAATTATAGCCCTGGGATTTGTGCTACACAGCGAATCATACCTCAGGAACGGATGGAACGTGTTGGATTTCGTGGTTGTAGTAACCGGGTTAGTACGGATACAGCATGTGTGTGTGTATATGCAACATAATGTCAGAGAGCTATATTCATCGGTGTATGTCGTTGTAATTTTGACCGATAAATTTCAATATTTAAACAACCATTAAACTATGTAGATTTGCCTTGGAAAAAAATACTTTGATGGAAAAACATTGGCTGCAATTTGTCTGGACTGGGAATTGATCAAATTTCGCTAAACGCGGATATTAAGCTTGAAAAGTGCACCGATCGGTAACGGAAACCGATCGGAAGAGAGCGCTCTTGACAACTCTAAAGCACTAAGCAATTACACTAGCCGTAAACATGACAACAACTACGTTGAATTAAACGATATTGAATCTGATCCACGCTCTACAAAGCACAGTGCGTCACTGTAGCCTGTGTTAAACTGGCTCGCTTCCACGACTTAACGCAGCGAAGCAAACATAGTCCAAAAGTAACGAGAGAAAGTCGCTCAAGCGAGACAAAAGACTCAGTCACGCATACACAGTATAATACTGATAATAATAGCATGGCTCTAGTAAAAGTTACTAGTATTCTTTTAAAAGCTGACTGTAAGCCGATTGTTACAGCCATGCGCCTTGTAGATGGGAAAATTGTATTTGTATTAACCGATTATCTGTTCGCTCGTACGTTGGGGGTGTTGGAATTTTCCATTTAAATTTCACGCGAATCTCCTTAAGTCGTTTTAAACCAGGCGTTCAGAACAAAAACCAAACTTCGTTTAATCGCCTAATGCGCTATTATTCCGTCGAGAAACGTCGTCTGCGTAAAGTTTCGACTGAAAAGGATCGGACCAGAGCGAGCATTCCACAGCGCAGAATAATTTTACATCAAAACTTCTGCCTCGTTTAAATTATTTAAAGTCGCTGAAGTAAGTAACCGTGATGTATAAAAAGTCACCATGAGAAAACGAAGCGGCCACTATTTGACGGCGGGTCCGCTATTTCCTTCAAATTGAAAATAAATGGGCAAATGACTCTAAAGAAAACAGTAGACAGACATTTTAAGCGATTTAGAACAAGCTGAGGTTTTACTCTAGCCCTCAATTAAACAGCAATATCTCTGAAAGCAAGCGGCAACGCTGCACGCGACTTAAAATGAAATACAAATAAAGTCAATCTACACGGGACGACGTATTTCTTTCTCAGCACCTCTACAACAGGTGCATGTGGAATTCTAGCGCGAAGTGTATTTTCCCGAGAACAGATTACAAGGAATAATCGACTTATGAATTGTGTACTATAAACATGGTAATTCTTTCGACGACGGTATAAACATGACTCGCTGAAATCTACGTTCACTTTAACAAGCAAAAATTCTGCAGTATCTATGGCAACAGGAATGTCATAATCCAAATGCGTTAAAAAGCCGGGTTAAAAAACACTAATCGCGTTCATTGAAAATTTTCCGAAAGAGTAACTTGAGTTGGAAGACGTATTGAATCCACGCGTAACATTAACACTTAAGCCAATGACTCATTCCAGAGGAACGCGGTTGCGACATTGTTTTAGTTTTTGTTTTATGAAATGTTATCGGGAAATAGTGCGTGAAATTGTAGCTAGGGTAAAATGCCGGAGCCAAGAAGTATGTCACGGCCAGTTCTGGTGGTCAAACAACTTCAAGTTTCATATTTTTCTTGTTCTAAAACCAATTGTTGACAGAACGGGTAATTAATAATTCAAAACTGCAGGGAGTTCGGCAGCTTCACAGTTTTCGTCCAGTACACCTGTCAAAATCACCTAAGTCAACATAAAAAAGTTGCCATTTTATCGCTACAGTAGCAAACTCTGTTTCGTAATCCGTTACAAACAACTTTCGCCAAGTCTTTAGTTGACAGTTCATCACTATTTCAAAGAGAAGCGAATGCTATCTGAATATTTACATTACAAAAACGATTTTTATGTAAATGCATTTTGCATCATTTCACAAAAACTTTCACAAAAAAGAACACGCGTTTATTTCGTTTTCCGCTCTCACCTGAAATTACCTGCGGGTAATTTGAGTCTAATAAAATTTTATAAACAAAACCCTGCAAATGTTTAACTTGTATCGAAAAAATGACAAACAGAGAAAGTTGCCTTCTTTTGTAGGTAAATGGCCGAAAAGTAAGGTTCCTTAGCCACTATCATATCATTAATTGACAAATTTTGGCCATTGAGCATCGATTCATGGCATAGAAGTTTACCTTTATCGCCCGATAGTGTCAATAATTTTGTCTTGTTTACATCAACTTTAACTAAACTGTGTTTGTAGAAATTATAAAACTGCTGTATGAAATCTTTTAACCAACATAGTACTATTTCTCAATTCGCTTAAACAAGTGTGAAATGCAAATACGCTTACAGGTAGCTATTATGTCTGGAACATTTGCTGAAGTGACACTTTGAACAATTAAGTCTGAAAAAATATGAATTTTTTTTCTTGTACATGTATAATAAAGTTGAAATTTGGAAAAACTACTTCTTAACTTAAGAGAAGCTTATACATATTTGGTAGGTGTTTAGAATGACTCTCGCAAAATATTATTGATATTCAGTGAAAACTTTGAAAACAAGATGGCTTTAATCCACAATTATGAAAGAACAAAGCCAGCGCATTTAACCAGAACAACAGCAACACACACAGAGGGAAAGTTTACAATGAAGTACAGACTGTTAAACTGTACTAGTAACAGTTTTCTGCTCAGTGTATAAAGTTGGAAACGAAAGAAAAACGCAGCATGAATAATTACACCAAATAGAAAATTACATTTCATTTGCCGACTGACATTAATTTTCTTTAACAGTTGCATTCTCATCATTAATATTCTGAGCACACTTTATGGACATCTTTTTAACCCAAGAAAACACAGAAAAGTGCACTTATCTTTCAAAATGAAATTGAATCATCTAATTAATAGAAAGTATATATAACAAGAATGTTTAGTCAAAATTTGGTAGCCATGGTACCAGGAATTTTAGTTAGAAATGTGGCATTAAATGTTACAAAAATACCCTAATTACAACTAGCATTAACGGCCGTGGTGTTGCATTTGTTTTAAAAATAAATTATAGATTGTTACCCTTAAGACAATTCCTGAGATCTTTAATGAAATAAACAGGAGAAGTTCTTTCAATATAAATGTGCAAACAAATAGTAATATCATAAAAAATGGCACAGTTTAAAGGCAAAATACTTTCTGTGAACGTTTTCCATAATTACACACAAGTTATAATTTTACTCATTGCAGTTATTAGTAATTATTACTTATTGCTGGTAGTACAATCACCTGGAAACATTGATCAGGGTTGTCAAAAGTAGCCAGCTGCCGGCGAAAATCGTTGCCTACTTGGTTAGTATCGGCCAGCTACTCTGCTTAGCATTTCTTTATGGATGGCGTTTTTTAAATAAATATCCCAGGCTTGGCCACTTACTTTGACAACTCAGCCGTCTACTTCAAAACTTTCTGACAACCCTGATTGATGGATTTCCATACAGCATTGGCAGACTGTATGTATAGAGTTCTACAAGAAATTAGTAAAATCCAACTAGTGGTCTATTATAAATGCTGTGTTCTGATTGGTTGAGCTACTACTAGGCTATATGTTATGGCCCACTAGTAGCGAAAAGCATGAACTTTTTGGCGGCAAAAAAGGATTTAAGTCTAGCTTTAACTAGCTAAAAGTTTTTTATTCTCGATATTTTTGACCAACTAGTTGGATTTTACTAAAACAATTATTCCCCTCACCCTCATAGCCTCTGAGTCAATAGCCCATTCGGCCTTCTGCCTTGGTGGCTTTTGACTCAGAGCCCATTCGGGCTCAAGGAATAACTGTTAAATAGTGTCATTCATAATCAAAAGGATAGCTGCAATGAATAAATTCTAATGCTTTTTTTTACTAAATTTAATGGTTCTCTACCAAATGGTCCTTTAGTACTATTACAAGCCTTAAGTGCCCGTTCACACAGTAAAAAGGCTTGCTGAATTTCCCTCTACTTTACAGAAGGCTGCATAATATATTAAGGAAAACTGCTTGTAGGGTATGTGACATTGTGACAAACAAATCTGGGCATAAGAAAAATTTCTCAAAGTTTTAAATTGGCACAAAATAATAAAAAAAAAGCTCTTTAATGGAAAGAAGTGAAAGCTGTTTGAATTGCAGCCTAATTGAAGGCTAGTTTAAAAAGGACAATGCCTTCTATGAATGTTTTCCATTATTGCACAATTGTAGTTATAATTCATTGAACTTGCACATGCAAGTTATTCATTATTATTTACATTGACAAATTATTGGTTATTAAATCACCTAAACCGAGATGGATTTTCATCAAAAGTTGGCACATATGACTTGTAAGCAGAAGTTAACCCCAAGCAAAAAAAAAGAATTTAGCAAACAAAGTGCTACTAGCAAAACAGTAATAGCAGGGATGGCTAAGGAGAATGAATTCAATAAAACTGCTCTTTTAAGTAAACCGTTCTTAGTAATTAAATGCCTAAAATGCTTGTTCATAAAATTCCAAAGGCTTACATGATTTTACCAATAATACATGGATAGCTGCATAATATATTATGAAAATTGCATGTAGGATAGACCATATTTTGATAAAAACATATGCATTTAAGTAAATTTCCAAAATTATAAATTGGCATAGAATGGAAAACTAAGGCCAAGGACAACAAAAGAACTGTAAAAGAGATCTTAATTACCTAAGTAAAATTTGTCTACTGGTCAATTCAAACTCATTCAGACTAACTTGAGAAAGACATCAAACTTCATGAACCTACTCAGCTCAGTTTGGTTTCGATCATGAAAGTTTGATGTTCAGCTTTTGTCTTTTAAAACATAATATTGAAACGAGTAAACTAACTTTTCTCTAACTCAAGTTAAACATCCCTCACCAAGTTATGACCAAAATTAATATGGCTACCATGACATCTAACCACAACTCAAAGTTTTCCTTTCCATGTAGTTTTGATTATTATTTACAACCAATAACTGAGTCCCAAACATTTTGTGGTCATCATTGTACAATTCAAACTAATGTCCTTTTTTGCAAAGACATTCAGAAATAAATATCACATGGTATTTCCTTGCACTAACAATAAACTTCTCTTTGCCTCCCGGAACCTAAAAATTATAATCAGCCTCGCCATATTTTGGTTCTCCAAAACAGCATTTATGTTTTGTTTTCTAGAAAAGTGATGATCCCAAGAAAATAAACAAAGTATGTACATGTACTAAAGGACCACCCTCCTCTGCCCTATCCATAAAGGAATGAACAGCTACAGTGAATGAGTTCTAATACTCTTTTTAAGGAAATGGATTTTTTGAATCGCATGCTTAAAATGCTTATTTGTACAGTTAAAAGGCTTGTTGAGTTTACTACTTTACGTAATGACGACTTCATGCAATACAGCAACGTTTTGCCTATCTAGAAAACTTATGATCCCCTGATAATATGTGGATGTAATGTTTTTAGCAGTGTGATAGGTATACAGCAGTGATTTGACAATATTCTCTGCAAATTAATCACCGTCATCATTGATTCTGTTGGTAGTGAATTTTCACAACATTGCAAAAGATTTCCTCATATAAACTATTAAGACATAACCTGGACAAATGTCTTCTAGTACCATACCCAAAATACCCATCACTGTCCTTGTTTGGATCTAAGTACAATGAAACTACTTGTATAAAATGTAAACAATAATTTATACAGTGCACTTCCCAGCTTACTTTGAAATCATCTGTAATGGTAAAATGACTGCTGAATTACAAACATTTTCAACAATCCGAAAGACTACCCAAAAGCAGGGTGTTCAATACGCATTGGAGATCAAAGAATTCTCTGTTTACTACGCAGATTTCTCCGGCTAACAAAAACCATGCAAAAGTGACAGTCCTTTTGGCCTACCACTTCAAACTTTTGGAAGCCATTTCTTTAGGAATTCTGCATAGGCTTTGTTGTGTTTATTTCTTTGTTTCAAAAAAACCCCTGAAAGTTCTTTTTTTTTCTGCTTTACAACTGGCACAGTATCCAATTGACATATTTTTGGACGTGAAGGACAAAGTTTTAACGTGCAATGGTTACATGCACAAATTCACCACCTTTGAGCCAAAGGAAAAATTAGCCTAAAGCTTAATGTAATGTAGGTTCTTCAAGAGCCAAGCTCCCCAGTTACAGAAAGACCAATACCATATCTCATAAGAAACCGTCAAGCAGAAATTGTGAAAATACCTTTGTTATCTGTGACACCAACTGTAACAAATTAACTTAGTAGTTACTTTCAATCTTACCTTCCAAGACTTAATACCACCATGGGAATCATGGGATAATCATGGGATAGGTTTATGGTACCTTATCTGAAACCAAAAAATAAACAATGAAAATTCCTAACAATCACTGCATGATATTTAGGTGACTGGCAACTAGAAAATCACTAGATTTCAGCCCTGAATTTTAAGGATCCCGCTTATGCAGAAAAATAAAAGACACAATATTTTAAAAAAATCTTAACCTGTCCTTCATGCTTATACATAATTTTTTTCTCATATTCATGACATATGTTTTGACTATTAAAGTTTTTAATTTCAGCCTTTTGAGCCTGCCAGAACTCCAAGTTTTCGAAGCTGGGAGTCTAAAGGCTCTAAGAGCAGCAAGAGTGCTAAGGCCACTCAAGCTAGTATCAGGAATTCCAAGTAAGTCAACAAAATATGTTTACATATTTACAGTCAGGCCTGTATTACCCTTTCATTTCCAGAGTCAATGATGGAATCATGAAATGCTGTTCTACAACCCTGGACAAAAAGTGTAGGGACAGTTGTACAGTTTGAACGCTTTTGAACACAGGCGAAATTGTATTCGTGCGCTACTAACACTGCATGTCCCTACCCCCTCCCCATGGATCTTTCAACATTGTATTGAGTGGGGAACGGGGAGGGGACAAGGATTTGTAAAATGACAGCACTGCTTTTTATGACACTACTTGTGACACACATAGAATTGCAGTTATGCTCTGACTGTCCCAAAGACTTTTGTCCAGGATTGTAGCTTTTGAGTTTGGATGAAATCCAGGATTGTAGCTTTTCTCCAAACTGATGTCCATACATTTCCTTAAGTTTGGATGAAAGATCAGGGCATTTTCTCTCAGATGATCATTTTAAATTCCATTTAAATTGAGAAAATTGATCTTGGTCACTATTGGGACTTAAAGGGTTAATCAGTTCTTTCACATGGTAATACATGTATTTATTGCGAATGTTGCCAGGTTTTGAGTCTGTGCATGAAATCCTGTGGTGTGACCATTCAAATGAAACCTTCTCAGTAGTACTTTCAGATGGTACTATTTATTGTGAATGCTGCTCTAAGTTTTGAGTCTGTGCATGACATCATATCGTGTGACCATAGAAACTAAATCTCCTAAGTGCTCAGCACATGGTACGATCCATTTAGCATGTAGCTCTAACAAAAAAAACTTTTCAGCAGTACTTTCACATGGTACTGTTTATTTAGAATGTAGTTTTAACTTTTGAGTCTGTGGATAAAATCTTATAGTGTGACCATTGAAATGAAACCTCTTCACATGTACTTTCACATGGTACTATTTGATTCAGTATGCTGTTCTACCTTTTGAGTTTGTACACAATATCCTATGGTGTGGCCATTCAAATGAACCCTCTTTAGAAGTACTTTCACATAGTACGATTTATCTACCAGTAGCACAGCTGTACACTCAATGTGGTTTTGAGCCCCTTGTGGTTGACATACTTGTGACCAGTGTTTTCCACCCATTGGGAATGACTTTCATTAATCAGGAACAGAATGCCAAATGTATTTTTAGCGGACTTGCTATTGACAATTCTTCCACCGAGTTACAGATTCCTCTTCGTATTTAAAACTTTTCATTAACAGAAATAAGGTCAGCCGTTTTAATCTACAAACAGTTGTTTACATTTTGTCTTATGCGCTTCAAACTTCAAATGTTAGAAGTCAAAACATTTCATGTCTGCTTCCAATGAGAACATGTTTTTCCATCATGTGCCCATGTTGTGCTTCAATCTTACCCTTGGTATAAATCTTCTTTTCTGTTTTTTGGTGGGGAGGGCATGGCAATGCACGATAATGTGAATGGAAAATAATAATTGAACCAAGAATTTGGGGGAGAACGGTGAACCACAACAACCACACTTAGATGAAAATGGGAGTAGGGAGGACTTTGTAGAAATCAATTATTTTAAAATTTGCATTAGTATTAATTGGTGCAAGTCAACCAAACTGCAGCAGATGAAGTGACCTGAATTCCTATGGGTTGCATCAGATGCACCTTTGAAAATGAACATGTCTCGCAGGGTTGAAATGAAAGTTGACTTGTTTATTGGGCTATCGCCTTTTATAGCAATACCCCCCCCCCTTCCCATCCCCTGTTTGAGGACTTACCTTTTCTTCTTACCCCTGAGGATTAAATAAAATTGTATTTACTCCTGAAGACTTGCATAAGATATAGGTCCACCCACTGAAGAATATGGGTCTACCCCTGAAGAATTTTGTGAAAATTGAAGCTTTACCCTAAAATAATTCCATATTTTTTTCTCTATTCCCAAAGGCATCCTCAATTTCTATAGCTTATACTGAAGAGCTCCACTTGTACTCACCCGGGGGAGGAGGGACGGATGTTAAATGCGATAGCCCATTTCAGGCCTGGGGTAACACTAAGTAATATTTTGTGCAAGATGTGTCACAACAAACTAATTGCTGCAAGTTGTTGGCCTACAATGTTGCATCTGTTTGCAAAAACCAGTTTCAAACTTTGCACTACAACTCCCAACAACATGCAACAACATGCAACGAGTGTGCAAACGGACACAACATGTAACATCCAACAATGTTGGGAGTTGTTGGCCTACAATATTGCGTCCGTTTGCAAAAACCAGTTTCAAACTTTGGCTCAACAACTCCCAATAACCCGCAACAACATGCAACAAGTGTGCAAACGGACGCAACATGTAATATCCAACACTGTTGGGAGTTGTTGGGCAACAATGTTGCGTCCGTTTGCACGTAGCATTAGAGTGTCTTTCAAAGGTTAAAAAAATCACAAAATTCGACCTAAGATTAGATCACAGGAATGCCCGTGAAGCATCCAGCCATGAAATTGTTTGCCTTCCATTGAACGGTTTCCCCTAATTATGAATTTATAATTCAATGAATTGTTTAGGGAAATTTACGGCACCTATAAAAATATACATACAAAGTCTCTATTAATTATCATCTTAGAGGCTTAAAGACAATAGTCAGAGCAGAAAAGAACAAAAGAATCGCCAGATTTTGTCCATTTCAAAACAACGCAATGAAATGAGCAACGAACGAAACTCATGATCAACCGGAAATCTTCATACTCACCAACATTATGGAATTCTTCACATCCTATCTTGATTTAAAGAAATCAAACATTGCTTAGAAGAACACTGGCCAAACCTTGGTGGTTTGGACGACTTCAAATATGAAAAGTTCGCAGCGCCACGAAGCGACAGGCAAAGCGATGGAATGCAAGAAGACCGAAGCACTTCGGGACGGGACGAAATATGAAACCACGGTAATAGTTGTACAGCGGAATCCCAAAGAAATCAAAATGGCGGCCTGTACTCTCTATGTTACAGAACGAGTCAAAATTCTAAAACGTTTAGTTGTTTGGGAAGTAGAAAGGCGTTTCGGAATGTCAAAAGCAAGAAAAATGTTAGTTTACTTCATATATTAACTTTTGGGAGGACTTACTTCTGAGTAAATGCTAAGTAAGGTTAGTGAAATCTCGTTTTCATTAATTTCGTTTTATTGACTGTTGGGGTGTTTGTTTGTTTATTTTCGCAGGTCTTCAAGTAGTTATGAAGTCCATCATGTGTGCCATGGTGCCACTTCTGCAAATTTGCTTACTCGTAGGATTTGTAATTATAATTTATGCAATCATAGGATTAGAATTTCTCAGTGGAAAATTCCATTTTGTTTGCCACGAAAATAAAACAGGTGAGTATGACAAAAAAATTCGCAAAAATAACCCCCATATTTCCAACTCATACACTATTATGCTCACTGTTTGTTTAGGGTTATTCGTCAGGGGTAACATAAATGCTGACCTCAAAAAATTAATTGGACATACAGTGCATGTAACCTTATACCTGTCAGTATTCTTATGCCTTAGTGGGCCCTCTTTGTTGCGGAGGGTAAGCCCCACAGAGAGGGCACTAGTTGCCTTATTCGGCCTAGATGGGTATGTGAAATGCTGAATATATGAATTTCATATATTTGATCTGCAGTATGAAGAAATTTATGCGGAGACGATTATCAGAGTTAAATAGTACCCAACTTATGCAGTTGTGAAAAGAGAAGCCTGAAAAAGTTCAGGCTTTCTGGGATTTCAACCCTGTCCTGCAGCACTCTAACCAATTGAGCTAGCAGGCCAAATGGGAGATGGTCAATAAATTACATTATCATTTGAAGAAAATTTTTCTTTCTTTTCATTGGCCGAGAGCCCACCATGTGACCTGCAAATAACTGCCTAAAAATAATGGTTTGCTCATGCGCAATGCAGTCCAACTGTTTGTTTGCAAATAATATTCTGCTTATGCATAAAGGAAACTGTGCTTTTCTCCTTCTTGCAATCACTCTTGCGTGAAAATGGCAGATCGCTTCGTTTACCGAGGATATTCATTAAAAAAAATGAACTCGTGATTTATATTGTGATTTGTCAGTGTCTCGCTGATCAATTATTTTCCTTGGCCTTCGGCTTCGGCAAATAGTTGATCTGCTCGCCACAGACAAATCACAATATTTTGCTCAACCTCGTCCAATAATTGTTAATTATTTTTTAGTATATACTAAGACAGTGGATAGGGTTTTTTGCTCTCTGATTGGCTACTCACTCAGGATATCCAGTGCTGTTAACCCCGAATGAAGCCAAACTCACGTAAGCTTCAAGCAAAATGGCTTTCTGGTTGGCTGCCGTAACAAACAAAGAAATTAAAGTTAAATGGTTTTTTTTCTACAGAATAGTTTCAAACAGAGGAATAATTCTTTTGAAGAAATATCCCCACAAGAGCTAAAAAAATGCACTCTTAAGTTTTATTTGTCGGCAAGACAGTAAGACAACGTGACAGCAGTTATTTGCGTGGCAAAATTGTTGCCTTTTGCAGCAATTAAAAATCATCATTTTTGAACTCAATCATCTCACTGTTTTGGCATATTATACAAAAATAATTATTATTCACCTCAGTTTCGGTGGCTAGTGATGGAAATTTAGGGACTTGTCAGAAATTAGCAGAGGGGGAGTGGGGGTGGAAATAGAGGGAGGGTCACAACTTTTTGAGACTGCAGAAAAGGGAGGGGTCATGAAAAATGGGCCGTTAAAAGGGAGAGGGTTATGTAAATATGTGTCCGTGATCATGTAGAGGTTCACCCACAGAAGAAAAAAGAAGTTCTTTATTTTGTAAAAAAAACCTGAGAGAAATAGGAGAGTCAAGTGATCAGCTATCAGAATCAGAATCGGACTCTTAATGCTGTCATCTAAAATGTATGTATATGGCATTTCAAAGAACAGATTAGAAATATATTTTGAGCTTTCATAATACTGACTCACCCTAGTGTATTGCAAGAACTAGATTTTATCATTTATACAAGAGGGGGAGGGTCATGACATTTTAGGCCAAGGTCAAGGGAAAGGGTTAGCAAATTTTGCTCCCATTGCAGGGATGGGTCACCTCATTTCCAAACCCAAATTTAAAATTTCCACTCCCTCTTCCCCCCCTGCTAATTTCTGACCAGTCCCTTACCTTGCAGCTTCATGACTTGGTAAATAAAATGACGGGCCCCGAGTTTGCCTGCTAGCTGATGACAGCCATTAGAACCCTTTGATCTCTAAAATTTCTACTGTGCCCTGACCCTGATCTTTGCTTATTCAGCTTAAGAAAGTAACAAATGAAACACGCGAGAATTTACCGTGCTTGGTTGTCCTCTGTATTCACTATTGTTTCCTCCCTTTCTACAACATTACCATATTTCAGAAAGATTACTGAGGGTAGTCAAGTGCGGTTAATTCTCCCGTGCTGCATGAGAATTTGATATTGTGATAAACTCGAGACAATAGGAAATCCCAAAGCAAAAAATTATCAGATTCCAAATCTATCACATCGCTTCAATATTTACTCAATTTTGCACCTTCCTTAGGCAACTTAAAATGTGTTAATGGATAAGAAAATCAGGCATTTTATAGTACATTGATCAATTGCAGCACTGAAATTGTTTAAAGAAAATTTATCGCAAAATTTGGGTTTAATCGCTGTTTTTGTGAAAGTATCCTGAGGAATTACCAAAAGAGCTCAGCATTGCATTTTACCCTGATTCACATGTTTTTGTGTTTTCGAAATCGCGCAAGTCTACTTGCATTTATCCAATTGTAGAGTGTATAAGGGTCATTTGCAAAATGAACGAGCGATAAAACCTTTCTGCGAACATCCAAAAAGTAGCACATTTGTCTGCATAAAGTTCAGTCTTTAGTTCGTGCCTAATTTTTACCCCTTTTTTAGGAATTCCAAGATATCTAGAAATTCCTCCTATAGATTTTTGTTTAACTTTGTATAACGGAATACAAGCACCCAAAGTATGCGCATTGTAAAGATTTCCAAAGTTGAGGTTAATAAGGGATGAAATTGCATATAAAGCTAAAACTGTCATGATGTCATTACCATGTGATATTTAAATTCCGATCTCCAAAAAAATAACATCATAAATGCAGTTTAGTCTATGAGTAATAATTGTGTTAAAATGATTTACCATAATAGCTCAATTTTTTAAGTATAAGAGATTCAAAGATGGAATGTGTCGCTACAAAATTATTGTATTGAGCCACCTTAACTTTGTGTTTAAGAATACTTAATGACTGAATATCGCTCAATTCAGTGGGCAGAATAGCTGAGGACAGGTAATTACAGAAATCCACAATGACACACTCTAGATAGCCTGCAAAAACATCCGTTTCTCCTCGCTCTTTGTTGATGGGGACATTTCACGTGGAGTGTCTGCGACTCAGGGACAGAAATTCCATACTGATGGGGACATTTCGCGTGGAGTGTCTGCGACTCAGGGACAGAAATTCCATACTGATGATGTAAAATCTGTCCGGAATCGGTGGAAGAGCTGATTGGTCAACGGGGAATTTACATTGTTTTAGCTATTGTTTACGAATGACAGTCTTGACAGACAAAAGGCCACAAAGATCAAATATAAATGTGAAGAATCTCTAACATAACCAAGTCAATATTTGTGGAATATTGTCTTCTCTAGAAGAAGTATTTGAGTTTTGTTGGAGCTCGTTGGTAGGTGAACACAGTATACCAAAATCAACAAGAAGACAAATAAAATTGGACAAATTTATATTTCGAGCCCTATGACTACGGGATTTATTATGTAAACATTGATTTGCGTCATCAGTATGGAATTTCTGCCCCTGAGTCACAGACGTTCCTCCACGCGAAACGTCCCCAGCTACAAAGAGCAAGGAGAAACGGATGTTTTCACAGGCTACACCCCAGAATAAGCCCTGGAAACAGGGTGCTTATGTTTTGTGCTTATTAACCTTAAAAGTTGTTACAGGTCAAAATCAATCAAGTCCAGGAGAGAGACAAAGAAAATTGAGAATCAACATTTAAAAATTTAATCTGAACTTAATTTTTTTGAAAGTTAATTTTGACCTGTAACACAGTCAAAGATAGTATTACATGCAGAAAAACAAAACCTGAATCAGACTTAATTGGAGCAACCCCTTCAGCCCTATGCTTTAATTTTTTATGGTTATCTTAGGTACGTGGCAAATTCCAGATGAACCTCAAATCTGTGATCGTGGTGGTAAGGGAACACAATGTAAAGTGGGTCAAAACTGTTCAGAGTTCTGGAAAGGACCCAATTATGGAATCACATCATTTGACAATATATATGCTGGATGTTTGACAATATTTCAAGTAATTACTAATGAGGGCTGGACAGATATAATGTACTGGGTAAGTAAACTTGTACATGAAAACTATTTTACGCTCCTCTTGTTGTCCGCAATCCTAATCTCCAGGTTGCTATTACTCAGTCATGGTAGCGACCTTTGTTCAGACTTCCACTGAGATTAAATGGAGTGCATAGAGCACATGTTTTGACCTTCTTTCACTTACAGTCTGATCATGCCTGTTTTGACCATCTGCCATGTGAAACTTATGCAGAGCTAATAGCCAAAGGGATGTCGAAGGGATGACTGACATTCAGATAAATACATTTTCACCGATTTCCATAACTATCAATAAAAATCACTTGACTACTGACAATTTTTATCAATTTTCAATTTTTATCTATTAACTACTCAGGGATGTAACTTCACCCGTTCCCACAACTGCTACACCAATGTTATTTTGAAAAGGTGGCAGATCTAAATCACGAAAAACTGGGAGCCTACAAACCTGGCCAATATCGGCCATCAGAATGAAGATTTTAAACCTGGTTTTAAAGAAAAGATGAGATCTTTTAAAGATTTTTTTATTGAAAACTGATATTGTTTGATCCTTTGACTCTCAATTGCAACTCAATTGTCAACAAATTCACCATTTGCATGAAATCCATTTTCATTTTTGGATGAACAGAAGAACGGATGTATCTTCTGTTATAAATTGATGAAATGGGTGAAATCAAGATAGCTTGATAAATGAAACAATTGTGTCATCGATTTCTACCAACTGATCAATACAATCGATATCAATTTTTATTGATTTATCAATTGATGAATGGTTTTACCAATTTTTATCGATTGACTACTCCAGGTAGTTCATTAATGTAATTAACAAAGCTAGATGTGTGAAGTTCTGATTGGTGTGATTTTATTTTCCTTGTAGACATTTAATGCCTACGATGCCCATGGTTATTTCTTCTGGATATATTATTACTCTCTCGTTATAATAGGATCATTTTTTATGCTTAACTTGGTTCTTGGTGTTCTTAGTGGGTGAGTGTCATGAACAGCTATTGTAGTGGGTAGAAAAATGGAAAAAGAATGCAAGGGAAAGGTGTAATAGAGTGTTTTCACATGACGTCACGGCGGCCATATTGGTGTCCCAAAACAATAAAACGGCGGCCATGTTGGTGTCCCAAACCAATCCTGTGGGAGTTGAACTTTTTTCTTATACAAACGCTTTCTTTTGTTCCAATTACTTTGCATAGATGCTGGCTGCTTGAGTGAAAACACTCTATATTGTTGTATGATGAATAATAGTCAAACAATAACTGCAGAAAATAGTGCATAGAATTATTTTTACTACTTCAAGAGTGGAAGGTTCTTTTGACTAAATGAAGTGACAGGGGAATAGCTCAGTCGGTAGAGTGTTTGACTACAGGGCTGAAGGGTGCAGGTTTAATTTCCAAGACAGATCCATACTCAGGGTCACAAAATTACTTATGAGATAAAGATAGTGCCTTTGGCTTGCCCTGCAAACGGCTTTACCTTCATGTGGCTTAGATTACCATATAAAATGACAGCCCCATCTCCAGTTCATCTGCCACGTGGTTAGCTCTTTAATCTGGAGACACACACCGTAGTAGGAGACGTAAAAAAAGTGTTCTCAATTGTTAGCACTTTTGTACTTAATACATTGACCTTCAAATAAAGTGCATCTTTTTATTATTTTTATAAGGCAAATACAGAACTTAAAACAGTTTCCTTCATTTCCACCAACCAGATGATGATATCCATCTATCTGCCCCAATTTATACCTTATTTTCCTTTTTAGTGAATTTGCAAAAGAGAGAGAAAGAGTAGAAAATCGGCGAGCATTTCTTAAAGTGCGTAGAACACAGAAAATGGAGAGACATCTTCATGGTTATATTGACTGGATCAGTAAAGCAGGTATTGTTCAATCCAAACTCCTACAACTCTGTGCTCTGTATTTGTGGTAAATTCTAAATCAAATGCATTGTGTGGTGTAGACCCTATATTTACATGTATTTAACAATTATTCCACGAGGGCGCGTTGGATATGAGATCATAGATAGCCAACGAGGCGCGTAGTGCCGAGTTGGCTATAATCATCTCATATCCAACAAGCGCAGGTGGAATAATTGTTTTATTAAAAACGCCCACAAAATCTTGTTGAATCTCCCCGACTAGAACAAACCGGAAAAGACAAGGGACTTCCGCTATTCACATGTCACATGTCTATCAAAACTGTCAAACGGACTCTCCTGGACTGCATGAATAAAAAATCAAAACATTGTAGCGATGAACATTAGTTTTTTAAAAACTCATCGAGATTCTAGGATTTTACACAGCAGAACAGCTAAAAAAACCTGGCAGATAATGTGAAGGAAAAGAATATTTAAGTGACAGCTGTCGAAATTACTTTGAATTTGGATTTTCGGTGCAGTTATAAAAGTAAGAACAACGGAGGAAAACTATTACCTCGGTCGCTTGTTATGAAGTTGTTTGAAGCCACCAGCTGGTTTTGCTGAATGAGAAAAGAAGCTATACTGCCGCCTCGATTGCTGTAGTGAATGGCTGCATAGCCTGTATTTGCAGCTGGTTACTTGTGATTTATATTCTTGATGTCGGATAAACAAGCCGCAGTTATCGGCGAGTGACTTGATCGGCGAATGGCTTCTCGATCATGAAGAAACAACACTTGTCTTCTTTCGTAGCTGGTCAAGGTACTTTAGTTCCATGTGTTTTCATGTGTTTTTCAACAAACTTTCAAACAAGCTCTTGTGGCTTTTTTGTTTGTTTTTGTCTTTTTTCTTTCGATGAAATTGCATTTCTTGTATTCTAAGAAATGAATTAAAACAATTTGCTTCGGGTACCGTTCTATCCTTCGCGAAAAAAAAAAAATCTCAGCTAGCTTCCCCTGAAGTATTGAGATAATGAAACCGCCTATATGCATTGATTTCTTTTCTTTTGATCCACTTGTCCATGTCTTCAGATAGGTTCATCCTATTAGGGATAAAAATATTTTTTCTTTTTTCCTCACGCTAATGATATGTTTCATGTTCATTTACCGTGCTTAAATATTCTCACTGAAATTCTCCATACTTCTTTATTAAGCCAATTTAATGTGACGTTCCACATGTTTTGTCTTCAGCCTAAACGTTAACTTTGAAATTTACATAATTAATGTACAAACTGAGTACTCACAACTGTTGTCTTTGCCAGATTAATTGTTGCTGCAGAATATTCAAGAGGCCATTATTGCTCTTGGTATATTGCCATGTTTATTCCCAACAGTATGTCCAGAGCGGTTTTCCTGTTGAGAAATTAAAACCAGTTAACCAAGAGAGTTATTCCCGAAATCAGAGTATTGAAATATTCAAATCAAGACAAATCACTCATGAGTTGTCCAGCTCAAGTAGCTTAAGACTTACACCCCTCGAAGGATGAGCTAAAAAACGAAGGCTCCAAAATCAGAAGTTTTGCTTTCTCGAACTATTAAAAGGTAGCTCGAATTTTTTTAGCTTTTGTTTGTTTGAAAAGTCTAATAAAAAGGCTAACCTTAATTGTGTTATAAACTATGAAAAGTGCCGGAAAGTATAAAATCGACAACACCGAATGAATATCAAGCTTAACCTTAATTAGCTTTAAAATTAAACTTAGTGATAATAAGAAGTGAGTAGACTTACCTTTTTAAGTATGTTTCTTTGTTTGAACTTTCAACATGTCAAAAGAATCATTAAGAAAAATTTTCCAATGTTTAAACAGCAATAAACGGCCATTGCCAATTGCATGACAAGTGAAATTGAGAGCGATTTTCTTTTTCAAGGTACGCGTCAGCCTTGAATCTTGGCCAAAGACCATTAAGTAAAAATCATGTTGATTACATCCTTATATATACAGCAGTTTAAGGCCTGGAGCGTAACAGAAATTCATCCTCAATTTTAAACTGACGCGTACACCGACCGTATATGGAGAGCATGGTATAATAGCTCATATACCATAACGGCTAAGCCAATCAAAATGCTAGAATTGCATTATCCAATGATTCAGTTTTTAATAAATTGTAATATAATATTTCTGTATATAATTATTACAAATGAGCATAAATGGAATAACAAGGATTTCTTTTGTTCCAGTTGTAAATTTAGGGATGTATGAGGGCCACCCCCTGTATAGTAAACTGCTCTAGCTTGCAATCACCACAACCCAGCCATGAACCCCATGTGCAGTGACATCCAAGAATCTGTCACAGTATAATTATTATTGGCCCTTTCATTCCTAACAGTAGCCATAAGGCAAAAATTCAATTCAATTTATTTTTGTAAAATTCTGTGAAGTTAATAGCACTATGCAAAAGTTCAGCCAAAGACCTATCATTTGTATGTGTAATCAAATGCTGACAAGCGAAATTAGGGAATAATTTTCCGCGTGTTTTGTCCAAATCCTTATAATTTCCCAAGCCTTTCTAAAGGCGAGGGAAATTATTAGGATTTGGACCAAACACAAGTGAAATCATTCCCTAATTTTACGAGTATACCATTTGATTACCTATTAATATCATGGGGGACAAATTACGTTGCAATCTTGGATAATATTGATCGAGAACTCCACTCTCTTGAATGTTTAGAGCTTAAATTTGGCATAAGTTCAGAATTTTTCGACAAAATGCCTGTTAGAATCCTTCTTGATGTGCTCTTTCGTGTGGTCAGGTTTTCTAAAGCGTCTTTTTATGCCCTGGCATCTTCATTCATGACATTTTAAAACTTTGTCGCCATCTTGACACTGAGACGTACAGAAGGTTGCCATTGCAATCACATGTGAAATTACAAATTAGTATAGGTAATAGCATGATTTGTAGTGATATTTGGTATAAATACCACGAGTGATATTTCAAAATTGTTATATGTAATTT